TAATTGCCAATTCACCCCCCTCTTGGCCAATTCCGTCAATCGATTAACTCAACAAGGTTTTTCTTCATTATGTTTTTCTTAAACCTAGCCATGAACTAAATTTATTTGACTAGGGTTGTTGGGATTTTGTGGTTGTGAAATTTTTTTTGGATTAGTTTGAATTCTTTATTGTCTTTTTAATTCAAAGTTTGTTCATTCTTGGTGCTTTAATTGATTTCGAGTGAATTGAGAGATGATCTCGAGAGTTTATCCATTTATCTAATATCAAGAGAGTTAGATTCAAGAAAAGAATGAGCATGATCTTCATTTGAAAGAACGTTGGTGAAGGTTAATCCAACTTAGGGATGAGATTCGGATTTCAACGGCTAAAAGGAGCGCAAGATCGGTTGTTGTTCACCCTTGGTTAACGCAGGGATGTATCATCAAGACATGCACAATTAACTAGTTCTTCGGGTTAGGGATAATAAGAAGGCATTGAAGAACGCTCTGTCGAGCTTTGAAGGGATGAACCCTATTACTACGACAATTGAATTATTTTCAGTTGCCACGGAAATCAAGTTGCCTCGACAATCAATTACTCAGACTTTCCATAAAGTTGTCACACCACTAATCACGATAACCCGACCTGATCTCTCACTTGATATTACTCTACTTTTATTTACTTGCTCATTTATTTTATTTATTCACACTCCTACTATTATCAATTTATTTCTTTTTACAGTGCAAGGAGTTAGAATACAAAGTTACATCAATTCCTGTGGAGACGATATATTTTCTACACTATAACTTGCGACGTGTACACTTACACCAATTACGAATTACTTAAATCATGCAACAAATTTTTAACATTCGAAATGAGTTACCTATGCAGTCAGTATAATCCATTTACGTGCAGAGATGCCAATAAATATGTATATTGGGATGCTTTCAATCCCACTGAGAAAACCAACCAAATCATATCTCACCATCTCATCCCTCTTCTTTTAGCTACCTTTTGTCATGAGCATATGTCAAGATGAGAAAATCGATTTATATGTTAAAAGTACGAGTATGAATAAGATATTTTGAAAGTCGTCAGTTAGAGAGATAATAAATTCGATATTAAAAAAATATCACTCGAATTTAGATTATAAAAATTTAATTTTTTTAAAGAATATGATCATCTTCTAGTAACCTATTGGTCTAATTTTTTTTTATTAATTTGGGGTAAGTACGAGATAATATCTGATCAAAGATAACTCTAAATCTTTCGACGTTGAACGCTCACACCCCTGGTATCTATAGTGCTCCAACCCGAGTCCCCATGAATAAGTATAACAATAATTCATTTACCACGGAAGTTATTTGATTCGCACATCTATTTATCTATTTTTAGAGAATATTTTTTTTTTGTATAAAATATTTAAATAAGAAAAAGAATAAATTCCAAATTACATAATAATGAATGGAGGTGGGTGGGGGTTTAGACTTGAGATTAGTTGCATATAAAGAGAAAAGCGCCTCCTTTCTCGTTGAACACGTCTTTCAATCAATGCCTTGACCCACAACCATCTCGATACATACTTACATGAAACATGAGTAAAATGATCAAAATTTAATATTCAATATTGAATTAATTCAAATTTTAAAGTATACTTTTACCTAATTTCTTCTGTCTTAAATTAATGAACTTTGAGTTGTGTGATTAAGCTAAGCTCCAACTTTATAGTGAGGATTAGGCTGTCCCCCCATGCTGGATGGAGGCTTGACAATGGAGTGTACCAGCTTTTTGGCTTTGTCTCGGCCAGATATTACAAATCAACTTTATTGCCCAATAAAAGTAATACAATATTAGAACAACAACTTTTGATCCCAAAGTCAATAAGAATAGTTCCCATAATTAATTGCTATTTCTACCATTTTAAAAGGAATTATTAATTTTAAACCCTTAAATTTATAGCTTCCAAGTTAGATTCATGCAAGTAGGAATAAATAATGAAATGTTATTTAATTAGTCCTTCAACAATTTTCTCACCAATAGGCAGATCCAAAACTTGGTGCCTCAACTAGAAAAATTAAATTGTGGTGTGGAATTTTGCAAAAGCAAGAATCTTTGTCATAAAAGTTTGACTTTTACTTCAACACATAATCTAAAGTGTACCCTTTGCTTTTGGTAGCTATTAAATCTTCCAACAATATTTCCCCCATTGATTTAACTCACCATCCAACTACTAATATTTATACATAACCAACCCTTCTTCACCCCCATTCGTCTTTGAGACTTTGTGTTTGCAAATGGCCATGGCATCAATGACCAACATCTTATGCCTCCTTTCCATTCGACTTTTGCTGTTGTTTGCAAGCGTCGACGGTGGCAAAGTTCCAGCAATCATAGTGTTCGGGGACTCGTCAGTCGATGCCGGGAACAACAATTATATTCCCACCATCGCTCGGAGCAACTTCGAGCCCTACGGTCGTGACTTCAATGGTGGACATCCCACAGGAAGGTTCTGCAATGGCAAAATTGCTACCGATTTCATCTCGCAGGCGTTTGGTCTCAAAGGGGCCATTCCTGCTTACCTTGATCCGACGTATAGTATATCGGATTTTGCCACTGGGGTTACCTTCGCCTCTGCCGGAACTGGTTACGACAATGCCACTTCCAATGTCCTAGTAAGTCTCTATCAAATTGTTCGTTCACGCTTCATATACGTACACAAACTCTAATACTCTTAATGAACTCATATATCATGGCATGTAGTCTGTGATACCGTTGTGGAAAGAACTTGAGTACTACAAGGATTATCAGACCAAACTGAGAGCCAGTCTCGGAGACGGTAAAGCGAACGATATAATCAAAGATGCTTTATACATGATAAGCGTTGGAACGAACGACTTCCTCGAGAACTACTACGCGGTTCCCGGCCGTTCATCGCAATATACCATTAAAGAATACGAAAACTTCCTAATCGGAATCGCCGGGAATTTCTCCAAGGCACTTTACGATCTCGGAGCACGAAAAATTTCTTTAGGAGGGTTGCCCCCGATGGGGTGTATGCCGTTGGAGAGAACCGGTAATCTTAGGGGAGGTCGATAGTTACAACAATTTGGCGGCCGAGTTCAATAGTAAATTGAACGACTTGGTGATCAAGCAGAACAAAGACTTCAATGGGATGGAGATGGTCTTTTCGGATCCGTATGGCATCATGTTGGATATAGTCCAAAAACCAGCTTTTTACGGTACATTACGATTAATTTTTCGATGATTATATTATTCAAATTCGATATAAATATCAAGTACGGATAAAATTGATTTATTGAACCGTGAAACTTCATGTTTCACTCCAACTAACTTTCCACTTTTGTAGTAATACTGGACTCAGGCAGTTAAAGGAGTTAATGTAAACATTTAATGCACCGTTTGTGTTGGTAAACTTCAACACACCCTCACTCCCAACAAAAGGAAAACAACTCACCTTTATCACTACATTATAAGGCAGACAATAGGGTGGTTAACCCTGAAAATTTCAAACTTATCTAATATTTTTATTTTATTTTTTATTACTAATATAATTTTATATCCTTTAAAGTTTTCTAATTTTACATTTTTTAATTTTATAATAAAAACTGTTAAATTTACATTTTTTAACATAAAATCATTTCTCCGTTCCCAGAAAATGATATTCTTTAACATAAAATCATATATCCGTACGTCCTTGAAAACGATCGTGTGTATTTACAGGATTTGAGGTGACGGGAGTGGCATGCTGTGCGACAGGGTTGTTCGAAATGGGGTATGCATGCAGCAGGACCAACCCTTTTACATGTTCGGATGCAGACAAGTACGTGTTTTGGGATTCTTTCCACCCCACTGAGAAAACCAATTCCATTGTTGCCAATCATGTGGTCCAGACTTCTTTAGCCACGTTTCTCTGACCAACTTTCATATCATATGATATGCTTAATATATATATATATATATAGTATATAGTTTACTGTATAACTTTATAGTTTATCATCAATAGATTCAATACTAGTACTCTCTGGACTTGTTAATTATGTAATCTTCAATAATAAATATATATGATTGGGTTAGAGGCATGGGTGTCATTCATTATTACTGTATGTAGCTAATTTTATCATTTGGTGTAAGAGTTCTTAGAAATATTAATTTCAAATTAGAAGTCGTTTAGAGGAGGTTCGAAGGCTTCAAGGCTCACTTCAGCGAAGAATCTTTTGAGTGGAGGGTCTTCCACTGGAGCTATGACTCCAGGGGTAAAAAATAATTCACACTATAATTGAACTAATAAAAGGATTTGTTAAGGCATATATAAACTGTCTCTTTAAGATATATTCATCATTTCTTCGGTGCTTAAGAATATTAGACGTCTATCTCTCAAGATACAATCACTTCAATGAATAAATCGATCTCAACTTTGGCTTTTTCCTATCACCGAAACAAATTCCATATTATTTCCATGTGGGATAATTTTTTTAAGATGTCATATTTTCCTCAACAACATTTCTATGTAGCTTAATTTGAACATGATTTATGATTCACCGTTTAATCATTTTCGACATATTATACATCATTTCAAAGGTATCATTAAGTAGAATATGAAATCATAATTTTATTATTCAAATCTCAAATTTTACCTATAGATAAAATGCCTAAAAGTTTCAAAATATCCATTATTTTCCAACGAAAGTAAACAATTTTAACTTTTTAATTGAATTACCTTACACTCGACAATAATATATTAACAAAAATGATGTCAATAGTAGAATGAAGCACAATATCCAGAATGAAATCAGTCAATTTGGGGGTAAAGGACCCTGTAACTTGGACTCAGGCATTGCATTCTTGGATAAATACTAATACAAACTTATCCAATAAAAAGTAAAAGAAGCAGATCGATTGAAGTTTTTCATTTGAATATCTATCCCTCTGTTTATATATATATATATATATATATATATATATATATATATATATATATATATATATATATATATATATATATATTCACTAGTGTAGCCTAAAGAAGGCAATTAAAGGATCATATACATCTTGTTTAGCATTTTTTGCCATGACATAATCTGCATGAGCATAATCATTTCTATACTGAACCACAAGTTTATCTCCATCATGATCATTCAGACTTCCCAGAAACAGATTCACATCATCATCATCGGCAAGAGCATCCTCCCCTCCATAGCTGACAAAAAGAGGAAGGTCATTTGGTATGCCGGTCATGTTGTATGCCGGAGGAGTTGGTTGCCCATAACGTTTCATATTTTCGACCACGTCGACGTAATCGACCATTGATGTTCTTAAACTGGAAATCTTTGTGGGTTTTTTTTTTCTTCCAAAAGGGTTTTATGGATGTACTTACTCTGAGCCAGATGGATCATGTTCTTTGTTGCAGATGGTTGAGGCTCATGATCTAGAAAAGTATTTACTATGGAGGAGTTCAAGCAACAATTCTGACCTGTAAAACTGGTCAATAAGTTAGTGCAATCAACGCCTGGTTTGCTGCAGGCGTCTTTCAGAAGTTTAATTACTGCCTCCCTGTTCATGATGAAAGCAGATCATGAACTTAAATCGTATGTTCATAGGTAATGTAACTTTAAACTTATATACATTACCAAGTTTGAAGTTCCTACCCTCGCGGATCGAATTCATGGAGGCCTAACCAGTAGACTGACTGTCAAAAGAAGATTCTTACATTGTTCAAAATCTAAAAGTAGAAGTTGTCTTCAATATGGATAAACACAGAGAAGATAGGGTTTGGTTTTAACCTCAGCAATGAAGTTTTCAGCAGCATTTTTTGCCAGTGGGGAAGTCAACTGACCCAAATAAGCAATTGGGCAAAGCAAAGCAACTGATCTGAACATGCTCAACACTTCATCCTTCGAGAAAGCAGCCAAAGCCATTAAAGTTCCCTAAATGTGAAAACAATATATTGAACTTCAAAACCATTGAGCAATCTCGGTGGTTAAAAGGAATATTGTTCTTCCTAGAGGTTTTGCATCTGCAAGGTGTGTACGTTGTCAATAGCTTAGAAAGATTATAAACAGATATTAACTTACAATTACCTCAAACTATTCAAGATATATATATATATATATGTATCAAACTTCACCATCTCCCCACCTTAAGGAACAATTGAAAGAAAAAGAAAAAATCACCTGTGAATGCCCCACATAGTGAAGCTTTTGACCTGTTTGATTATAAACATATTGGATTGTAGCAGGAAGATCATAAGCTACCAATTCATCCCATGACCAATCCAAGTAAGCCTACAAACCAATGAAGAATCAACCTAATATTCAAAACTCAAAGCTTGACAACATAATGGAAAATAAAAGTTTTAACAATAACCGGATCGTAATGACTCAGTGATGTATGGCCTCTGCTGTACTTTGTTCCGCGTGAATTAGCAAGCCAGACATCATAGCCGTTATCCGACAAGACGAACGCCAAAGACTGTTCCGGAGGCATTAGCAGCCATGTTATTGCATCCTACACTAAGCAAGGCCTTGTTACATAAATGGTTTTTAGTTAAAAATTCAATGCATTGGTATGGAATCTTAGAAATATGTCAAAATAAACAAAACCATTAAGAGCCCATGCTGTAACAGGACCGGTGGTCTGGTTCCTGGTGTCCCACCTGACCGACCCACAGGGACTCTTTGCATACTGAGAATGTAGCCATCTTTCGTTGTTACCTATCAAAACCAAATAACAATCTTTCACTAAACTGAGGAAAACAAAACGATTGGCATTTTGGCAAACACCTAGTGATCTTACCGTGTGTTCTTCACATTCATAACCTTGAGTTTCCACCATTGACTTGCAAATACCTTCATCTTGAGCTTCGACTGAATACAAGGCTTTTCTATTTCCAGCTGCTGAGCCACAGGAAAGAACCAGTAGAATTATAATACATCTTACATTGCTGGCTACCTCCATAATATATGTCTTTTTTACTCTGTTCCAACAACCCCAATGTTTGCAGCAATTTTATAGTAGCAGAACAGCCAAATAAGAACAAAACAAAAGCATTCACATGAGGAAGCTATTGAAAATTACAACACTTTGACAAACAAATTGATTTACAGGAAGGAATCAAAATGGGCCCCTTTTTTCTATATTTAAATGCATAAACTTTTGAAAGATTTCCCAACTGCCACGATTCCCTAATTAACAATTCGTCTTCACAATGTTTTATTTGCACAAAAGAAAATGACATTCTATGACAGTTTTCCGTTTATCTAGTGTTAGTGCAAGAGAAATCAGATGCCAAATTGGTAAGGCCTTGTGATGGAAATGTATCGAAGAAAACTAGCGAGGAAAGCATGCCAACTTAAGGCAGTGAAACATTTGCAGATTGAAGACCAAACCGCTATTTTTTAGAAGAGCATCATTTCTTCTTTTCGAAACATTGTAAATACTTGTTTTTTTTTAATTTAGATGCAAGTCCAAATCACATAATTATAAGTCCAGCTTAAAGAGTCCAATTATTTTAGGTTTATGTAGTATAATTTAATGCAGATATTACATAGACCTATTACATGATTGGTTTCCTTAATTTATACTATTCACAACATTAAAATTTGAACATTTGACGTCATTTAAGGACCTAGAGCCTCGTCTTACTAAAAATGATTTAGAGCCTTATCTTACTATAAATAACTAAGAATGTGTCAGGTTTTTAGATCACTTGAACCCGACTCGAAAAATAAACCTCTCCACTTGCACTCAACCTGACCCGGGGTTTAGAAGGATCCTACACAACCTCATCTGATTTTTTCCCATTGATCCATCGCCTCACCAACAACAATCTACGTCTGCGCTAAGTTTTTATAGGTTCTACTCCAATCTTTCTCCCGACACATCTTATTCTCTTGTTTGCAACGTTTATTCTCACAACCTGAGAGCTCTTTGTAAGGTAAAATTCTTCCACTTTATCATTACGGGTCATTCCCAAGGAAGAACTAGAAATCAAGGAAATAGCCCCTGCTAAAATACTCAATTTGCCTGGAAATCACCCGCGACCGTAACAAAATCATTACTGGGTTTACTTTTAATTACATAGAGAACATGCATTGGCCAATAGACTACCAAAAAAATTTGCATCGAACGTTGCAATGAAGTTCGACAACACACACACTAATTACTAGTCTGCAGAAAAGCTCGAACAATTTCATGATTGGCGGGTTCCCACGGAATCAACTGGTGCCGGAGAAGTATTTAACATACCCTCGGAAGTTGTCAATGCACTTTGTGGAACTCGGAATCTTGTCGGTGGTCTAGGGAATCGCAGTTGCCACCCTCTAGATTTTAGTTCTCCCAACAATTGCCACCTTTTAGGTTTTATCTGCCCTGCAAGTTTCAATTGCTCCTTTCTGAACTTTCTATTTGCATACCATGTTCCGCCTCGCCAACCCAAACCATATCTGCAGTTAAACCAAGCTATGTTATCTGCACTCAGGGATGATGTCAATAATCTGGACAGACAAGTGTTCAATACAGGCATGCTTGATTCCCCCCCCCCTAAAATCATACCCCTGTACATGTCTTTCGACATGAATATTTAACAGAAAAGACAGCAATTCAACCTGATGTTTAAACCATCCATAATTCAATGAAAAGAGATTCTGATGGAGATGCAATCTTTCTTAATCATCCCCATTCTTACCTCTTACGAATATTCACTACAATTGAGTACTTTAGCGAAAGCCCATTCTGATATCATCTGTATTTTCTAATTGGGGACATTCATTCACCAGATAATGAACAATGAATCGAACCCCGGTGTTTGGCCAAATGGCCATGAGTGTTCACCCCCAACCACGTAGCAGGTTTTTAATCACAGGACTTGTCTACTTGTGGTGTGTAAGTGTGTGGCAGTGATTTGATCATGCCAGAAGTATGCGAGTTGTAACCAAAAAAAAATGAAAACAACTCTAATTCAATCAAGCTAAGAAATTTAAAAGAAATTTAAACAACTCCATTTCATTTTACTTAGCCCTTCTAGTTTATCACTAATACATCATTTCATCATACTTGTTCAATGTTTTTCCCAATCATCAGAACATAATTTCTTGCAACTATGTGATCATTAAACATACAATATATTGCAAAAATTCCAAAAATCACTTCAACACTTTAACCAAAAACAACAGTGACCAATTGAGACCTTCGAACTCAACATACAAGTAGGCCTTTTCATGAGAATATTTTCTTCTCCAAAATGGATAAATATTTTCAGAGAAATATCCATTTTTATGTTAGTTCTCTGGCTAAAACTCGTTACAGAATGGTGAATCCATCAGCAATAAGTTAGACAACATACCCAATAATGAGAGCGGTACCAGCTGTGGCAACCCAAGCAGCAGTTCTAGAAGGCCCTGTGTCAACAAGTTTTTTGAAATCGGCATGCTCAAGATGATGATTGTTTTTCATCTGTCAGGAGATAAGAAACATTATATTTTAATGTAAAAAAAAGGTGAATGAGAAGAATTCTAAAGCTGAAGGGATAAAATTGCATAAAATGGTTTTATAATCTCTCAAGGAGACAAACAACTAAAAAGTGGATGATGGTTGTACAACTCATTAGAATCAGGTCTTAGCATGTAATATCGTCCATATACCTCAAACTTTAACCAAAAGGAGTAGCAAATAAGATAGGGGGCAATTGATTACAATTAAAAGTGTCAAACTTAGCTCATAGGGAAGCAATCAATAATCATGAAAATCAGGCATTTATCTCATTACGTCTGTCTAAGGTCAATTGGAAACAACTTAAACTAGAAATGAATTAAGACAGCAGCAAAATTGTCCAGAGATCCCAAAGAATACTCCGCAAAACCAACATAGAATTTATAATTAACCCTTAGACAAGCTAGAGGAAAAGAAACTATAATACAATATTTCACATGTTGGATAGGAAAGTTGAATGAAAAATTATTAAGTGCACAGCACACATTGCTAACAATCTAACATTATGCAAAAGAATACTCACAGCCTTTTCAATTGATTCAAGCCTTTGGTCAACTTTTGATTCATGATAATGCCGTAATGAGTATCCTGTACCAACATTTATGCGTTTCATATTAGATTCTCAGCCTTATCACATAAACCAAGCAGCCAATAGTGAGAGCATGGAATTAGAAACCAGAACATCAAATCTCCAAGATAATCAAAGAAGAGCTATGCTTCATAGAAACCTACATTTAATGAAACTTCACTTCTCAAGGCAACTCAATTCTTCCTTGATTATGCAGAAGCAACCACTATAGGAATTCACAGATGCATTTGATTAAAC